TGCTGCTGAGATCTTCCAGACTATCGAGGGATTAATCCATGAGACGGTGTCCGAACAGATGCCTTCCTTTGGTGTAAATTAGACAAGGACAAAGCGTCCAGACAGTAAGCTAATGCTAATGATGTGTTGGGCACCCCTTGCTGTTATGGACAGGGAGAGCAAGAGGGAGCCTCTCAGAGACTTTATGGAGCTGTTTATAGGGCCAGGAAATATTACTGAAGAAATTCAGGGGGTGAACAGGAGTACAAGACCATAGCATTAACAAGGGGAGACACTCACTGTGTGACATGTAAGTTTAATCTTGCTGGAGCAGAAAACTCACTGTTATTACTAGAATTTCATAATCAAACATTGAAGACTTGGAATGATTAAAGATTCACACAGAGCGAAACACTCGGTATTGACAGCAGTCAATTGTGCATAAAAGGTTATTAGCTCTCACTCTTGTGGTTAATCGACTGGCTCTGTCTGAGGCAAAGGGGAAATCCTCTGTCATTATGGGGACACTATAGTGACTTGGACATTTCCTGCTGGAACACATGAAAGACCCCCCCCCCCCCACCACCACCACCCCTAAATATCCTCTTTTAAAGCATAATCAGCCTGGTGTTTAATTATGTTTTTTCAAACAAGACAGCACATTTTACTGTGCATGAGGCTACAGTGCTTATGAGAAGCGATTCTGCCAGACCAGAAATATGTACATTATTACGTACAAAGGACCGTGAAGGGGCAATGGGAGGCTTATGAAGCGTGCCTACTGTGCTCATGCCAAGTTCCAAACGATCTCACTCTCCAAATGATTGCATTAAGCAGACGTTTGCTGAACTCTCTGCGGACAGACAGATTCAATGGCTCATCTTCTCCTTTTATGAAAACAAGAACTTTTTCGTGAAATCTGATGCGGAAAATGGCAGGTTTAGGGATTGGCAAAAATTGAGAGTCAGCGGAGCGCAACATTTTCCCCATGGTTGAGAAACGAATGCGGTTCCAACATCTCCCCTGCCATCGGGGGGCGCCCCGGCACTCCTTACACCACCCTTGTCCTGGTACCCATCCTCAGCATTAGCTGCCCTGCTTCCCAGTGAGCTTCAGCCATCGTTTTGTTTACTGCCAAACAACACCCAGTGTTGGGGTGGGTTGGTTCAACACTGGGATAAAAAAAAAATAATAATTCTGGTCACTTATAATCAATCAACACTCTTCAAGAGAGCCATGATCAATAAGCTAATAACACTGTTATAAAAAAAATTCAGAAATAGCCAAAAGAAAGTATATATATTCTTAAGGAGCACAGGTGTTCTCTTCCTGTCAGGCTAGTGTCTGTGGAGAGTCAATGTACTCGTGGGAGTAACAAAACACTCTTCTATTCTGTGAGACTTGACTGTTATGCTGATTATTCTCACAGTGAACGTGACACCCATGCAATGGGGCAGTGAGCGGTTCAGTGGTTCAGTCTCTACGCCCTTGTTCGGATGCTCGCCGATTTGAGTCCTGGCCTCTGTGGGCACTTGAGTGAGGCCCTTATCCCCCAGCTTCAGGGGGGCGGCATGCTGGCTGACCCTCCGCCGTAACCCCCAAACCTGCTCTCACCTGTCTGTGTGTCTCACATAGTACAAAATGGGATGAGAGAAGCATTCCAATATACCTGTACTCATATTCGTGCAAATGGCAAATAAAGGATCATTGTATGTCCATTAAAAAGGGTTTAGAGTCGGGGCGTGTGGAAACGCGAGGAATGAGGAGGGTGTCAGCGAGCCCTTCATAGCTCATAAAGTAAACCGAGGAGAGACCCAAAGAGGGGCGGACCATAGGAGATGCCATCTCAGGTCAAACTGGTGTGCGGCCCGTGTGAACTTGCAGGAGCACATAGGTCAACATTAAGAGGTCTTTGCCATTTAATTGCTGGCTTCTATCAAGGCCACGGATACAAATCCAACACAAAATGTACAAATGTGCTCTCATACCTAACACTGCAAAATGTTATTGGTATCATTGAGTGGTTTTAACACCTGCAGGATCCCAGGGTTGTCACGGCGATCCGGAGCAAGGGCCTTAACCCCCAATCTGCTCTCTGACCCCAAATGCCACTTTGGACAAAAGCATCTGAAAAACCTATAAAACGGCTATAAAATTTTGACCACAAACGTCAGAAGATGGTTCTGAGGCATGCAGGAGGAGCATTTTTAGATTGGAAAGGGGGATGTCAAGTCTGCGGACAGTGGCCGTTTAATTCTGACAGATGCTGGGGGAGGACAGCGGAAAACAATCACTTTGTTGAGGGTGGGGGGTGGGGGTCCTTGTCCCTGACATTAAGTAGAGTGGGTGTAGGGAGTCTGAGGACTTGATTCTTGAGTAACACTTGTGAATTTGGCTCTGAGTGGGAGAGCAGCCATGCATGTATGGACAGAGTCCGAGGCCCTGATGCAGGGACAGCTGCTCCTTACACCGCCTGAAGTGATGTGAGACAGCATGTGGAGAAAGGCCAATGGCAGACTGAGAACGTCCACCAGACGAGGGACCAGGGCCTGGCCTGGAACACGGGGGCTTGGAGGAACAAGCAGACCGTCGAGTTGCCATAAGGAAGCGCGCGAGACTTTGACCCCGCTGGCAAGGAGAGAGGAAGCTTCTACTGGGCAGCTGAGCTTGCCGGTAAACAGTCAGGGAACCTCCGTATAAGCCAGATGGTGAGTGACATCCCGGAGAGATTGTCCACTCCCTGACCCACTGTGACACAGATCAGCCAGAAAGCCTCCCCCAGTCTTTGAGAGAGCAGAGGCTGGCCCTGGACGATTAAAGCCTTGGCCTCCCGTCTTGACACCATCAAACGCTGGAGGTGACCCAAGCCACAGAAATAAACTGATGATGTTATGTGGTGATACACCAGCAAGGTCTGGTGTCGTTGGGCCTCTATGTGTAACACAGCTGGCAAACACAGGCCCTCTGCTGGCGCTACATCAACATCATCTGCTGGAACAGCTCATATGTCACCCCCCTGCCCCTCCCGGGCACCACTTTCGAGAACTGGGACAGCCATCTCTTATAGGCTCCAGGTTCTGAAGGGCCAGGCCCGGCTGCCTGGCATGGTGATGGTGACATCGAGCCGCCAGCATCTGTCCTCGAGCTCCCGGTGATGACAGTTCTGGTTCTGGTTCGGGTTCCGCTGAAATGTGACTGCGTCGAGGGGATGCCGGTCCACTCCTGAGGCCACCAGTGGTCAGGATCTCCAACTCGGACAGACGGGAGAACGAACTCGACTTCAGCCTGAAGGTGGTAAATAAGCTTGGAAAGTCCAACCACAAAGAAGACAGGCCAGGTGAGGTAGGAAGGCTCCTGCTGCCTGGATCACTGACCTCAGCCTGAGCTCCCAACCGCTGCTCCATGGCCGACTGGGCAGAAAGTTTACGGGTAGCTTCAGCAGCTGTCAGACCATCCCTCCATCCTGCTGAACTCTGAACTCATGTCCAATTGAGGACACTTCAATCCCAGCAAAACCTACCTCTGTGCAGTGCTCCTTTCGGGCCTGATACTATAGGCTGAGTCCACATTTTGATTTTTGTTCTGACAGAGAACACTGAGATGGTAATAATGCTGCTGGATGAGACCCGAGGTTCTTACTAAGTTACAGCAACTCTGAGAGCCAAACACCCTCCATGATGCTCTATTTCACATCACTGTGCCCCGATCATAATTAAATCACGCTCTCCATATTACAGTTTTACCATCAAAGGCTTTCCTCCAACGAGAAAGTCGTTAGGATATCTTAGATGCATTTGAGGTCTCAGTGCTAATCAATCAGAGTGTTTTGGAAATCGACACATAACCCTTGGATCACTCAGCACTGAATTTACCAGCAGGAAAAACGGATAGGAATATAATGCCATGAAAAATCGACAGTCTGCACGTAAACGTCAGCTATTCTAACGGGAGATGCCGTAACACTAATGAACAAGGACTCGTCATGATTTAATTACCAACCAAATCCTCTACTGGCATATTAATTTAATTTGGGGAAAAAATTTAATTCTCAGTAAGAGTACTCAGGAAATACACTATGCAGAACAACAGATCAACAGTTTAACAGGCTTGAGTGACACATCTGGATGTTGGTGATCAATCAAAACCCAGCTTCAGCAGTAGGAAGATAAAATTGAATTCCTAAGCTCAGCAGATGTAGAAATGCCAAGGTGTGTTAGAGGAATGCCCTAGACTGCGTTATAGTGGACATTCAAGGTCAAGATCATAAAACAAATAAGAGTCTGATTTAGGAACCACTGAGGCATTTGAAAGGGCATTTTAAATACAGGAAAACAGGTCTCTGATTTTTAGATGTATAAATTTATTTATGAGTTATTCAGAGGCTGAACTCACTTAGCAAACACAGAGAAACACTGCCTCACAAGATCAGAGAGGGCAGAAAAAGCTGTTCTTTCGTACTGAGCAGGTAGAATTGGTCATTCTCACAGAGCAAGTGGAAGCTGATTATTCTCACAGAGCAAGCAGAAACTGATCATTCGCACACAGAGCAAACAGAAGCTGATCATTCATACAAAGCAGATGAAAGCCGGTGAATCACACAGAGCAGATGGAAGCTGCTCATTCTCATGGAGCAAACAAAGGCTGATCATTCACACAGAGCAGACGGAAGCTGATCATTCTTACAGAGCAGGTGGCAGCTATTCATTCTCATAGAGCAGATGGAAGCTGACCACTCACAGTGCAAGCGGAAGCTGATCATTCTCACAGAGCAAACAGAAGCTGCTCATTTGCATAGAGCAGACAAAGGCTAATCATTTTCCCAAAGCAAACAGAAGTTGTTCATTCTTACAGAGCAGACAGAAGCTGATCATGCACACAGAGCAGATGGAAGCTGATCATTCTAGCAGACAGAAGCTGATCAATCTCACAGAGCAGACTGAAGCTGATCATTCTAACAGAGCAGAAGAGAGCTGATTATTCAGGTAGAAGTAGGTAGAGCCGGCAGCAGCTGATATACTCACAGGTGGCTGGCTTGTTGCAGTTGTGCCCGTGCCTGAAATACTGTGGGTTCTCAATAACCGGGATCCGGGTCATGCCAATGATGACCGCGTCTGGTGCAGCATCCAGGGAACACGGGCTGATGATGCCATGATTGACGTGATGAAGAGGACTCGCCGAGTCTTCCTCCCCACTGATCACAGCTACCGGCCCTAACAAGAGAAGCGGAGGGAGAAGCAGGGGCTTTCATTAAGAACATTAATGGGTGTGAAAAACAACAGCTCAAAAGTAAGAAAAACAGCCCACAATGGAGAGAGAGACAAACCAGAAAAAATGCAGGGGGTCCAATGCTGTTTAAAACCTGGTGCACTGGCTATCGAAATCCAATTTTATACCAGTATTAGGGTGTGCATTTATTTCACCAACGTAGGAAAAACATATAATTAAAGTGATATGTAGAATGCACAGTTACGATTAGCATATGCTAGCATTGTGTAATTTGCCCAGGGCCATTTACCACGTTAGCATTTTGCAATTTAGCATGATCACAGACGAAAAACTGATCATTATTGAATTAGAGCATTAACCAGCAGTCGGCAGCCTCAGTCTTTCAGTTCTGTGCCAGAGTTTATATTTCATCAAGAAACCTACAATGATACAATGAGTCTTAGCAGCGGTAGCATAACCATGAGTAAGACCTAGGGAATGGGACCTTTATTTGGAGGATACCATGTCCTTTTCAGAGTAAACATGGTTCTGTAGAGAGCAGGACAGATTTAGTTAGTTTGAAAAAGGAAACTGTGGGGACAGAAGGAAAACCAAACAGACGGGGAAGAAGGGGGGGGGGGGGTGGAACAGCTTGGGCTCGTTGGAGTGTGTGGGACGAGTGCAGGGTTGTGACGGTGTCGACTTCCCCTAAGTTACCAGGGACTAAAAAAAACAGAACACAGCAATTTATACACTCTGCCACACCCCCCCAGCCTCCACCCCACCCCCATGCAGAGCCGGCAGCATTAAAATCCCATTTTAATATGCTTGAATTAATTCCCGGGATATCTGTTTACTGTTCTAAAACAGGTAGCGGTCATGACTGCACGCCGCTACGGCTAACAGGCAACAGCCAGTCTGCAGGCTGCGATTCACTCCTGTCTCCCTCTGCCCGCTCCATCTTCAGGGAGACAGCAGCTACTACCGAGAAGTCGCGCGATGAAGCATCTCTTCACCTTCCTCCGTCCGTCTTTCCTTCACTTCCCCCACCTGGATGAAAGAGCAGGTACCGGCTATCTAATCAGCTCCTGTTATTTTTAGCAGCAATATGCTAATGCCAGGTGCCCGCACACAGTGGTTGGCGGTGGGCAGGAAGTGACGGCAAACTCGTACTCTGCTTCGTGAGAGAGAGCAGCTGTCTGTCAGAAAATGCGGAGGGGGGGGGGGGGGGGCACCTTGCACACAGCTGGACTGAGAGTGTCACACAAGTGTGTCATCAGAAGGGCTTGTGCTCTCCTGTCAACATCGATGTTTACCTCACGCAATCCACAAAATCCTGAAGGACAAAATAATTCCACAGATTTGCAATAAAAAGTATTTGTTTTTAACACAGAGAAACAGAAATGCCTTGTCTGTTTGAAAAACTGCCAATCCATGTGTCTTTGCTTATCCGATTGCAATTCATTTTGAAGTACAAAGAAACGTAAATAAATGAATAAGACCTCCCTGCACCCCACGCTCTCCCTAAATCGATTTCGCAGCTTTGAGTGTTGGGGTGAGTCTGCGCCGTCATTTTTATTACCGGGTCTCAGAAGTTAATCGCTTGTGAGGCGGCCAGATGGGCTGGGAGACACAAACGAGCCGTGTCGTCTCTGCGGCCTTCGTCCGCTCACCTCGCAGCCATGAGTAGTCCCTCAGGTGGCAGTGTGTGTTTTGTGCTGAACACGTTCGTATTTGCTGGGCGTGATGAACGACGTGTCGAGAAGACAACAAAACCTACTGCAAGCCCTGTTTGTCTTCATTAAAAGAAGCATCAATTGATCATATATAGACGTATTTAATGGAAAATAATAATCCATACACAAACATAAGATATCAAACAGGAATTAAACCGCTGAGAATTAAGACCGCAAAGACCCAACGAGCCTCGTGAATATTCTCAACAATGGCTCACACCGAAATTCAGAAGCGTGTCATCAAGTACACCATGACAGGTCGCTCCGGATTTGAAATAAGCATGATAAGGAGAACTCAAGCCCTCTCAGTCAGGTCGGCTTTGATGGTGCATAAGCAGGACATCGATCAGTCCCACGGTCAGCTCCTCTGAAAGGCATCCTCAGGGGCGGCGTGTCACACAGTGGATTAGGACACAGTCTAGGTCACAGCCTAATGGACGAATGGCATCATTGTAAAAAGGCAAAACAGGCACAGATGAGACACAGATGACAGAGGATAGAGATGTTTTGCCAGTAGGGTTGCAAAATTCTGGGAATTTTCCCGTTAATTCACAAATATTTCTGTTAATTCCCCTGGAAAGTCTCCAACTGTCCAGCCCTTTGCAACCCTAGCTTGGCAAGTGCTTGAGAGAGGACATTGGGGCATTAAGGACAGAGGAATTGTCCAGCCCCCAGTGATAACACGAGAGAGACTCTTCATCACTCTAAAAATCACAAACGAGAACTAGGTGAGGTTAAAGGCTATCCCCACATCCGGCTTACTTCTGAAATATATCATGCCCTCAATATCTGCCTAATCCATAACTACTAATCCATAACATCTTTTATTCACCAACAAAACAAAACCAACAGTTTTATTGTAATCTCATAAATGAAGCTCTTTGTGTTATATTCCATGTATGAAAAGTGGCATAAAAATAAAGATTATTAATATAGCAGCCTATGACGATGTACACTGTAGGGTTAATGCAAACTCTTCAACACATCCGTTAGCAATTAGCCACAGATTTCCTTTGCTCACACCGGATAGTTACGGTTAACAACACCCAACACCAGAGAGACAGGCTGTGTCAATGAGGCAGGATGATCGGGGAAATCCCCAGGAGAGCTCTCCACTGCTTCTCCGTGTTATTTTTGTCTCCACCTCCGCCGGGGGCGTTTCTCACAACCCACGAAAGACAAATGCCAGGCATGTTAATAAAGCCCTGAGCTGGTAACACGTTGCCAGTACATCTGGAAAAGGAGCCGCTTAGGTCACAACAACACTTCACATCATCTATTTTCTCCTCTAATATAAATCCGTCTGTTCGACAGTTAACACTTCAACTTTGGGGGAGCTCTGCAATGTTTTACACACCATTTTAAGCAGTCCACCCACTGCACCAGATTGCTCCATAGTTTAAATAGGTAAATATATATAATAAATAAATCTTCAGTTTATATAATATAGTTTTAGCATTAATGTCAGGATAGTTTCTTTTTGCTATAGTATTTAAGTAATTTTTGAACAAGGTGTATTCAGTGACCCATTAACTACACCTGGATGTTTAATCAATGACCTATTCCATTGATCGATTGATTGATCAATAAATCAGTCAACTAATCAATTTCTGGCACACTCTTTCACCCACCCGTGTCTTTACTGATAATGATTTTCTTGTTCTGCTGAGAGCTTTTTGGTTCTCATTGCCTTTAACTGTTGGATTATCCATCTCCCGACCGTTTAAATGATTTTACAGGCACCACGATGGATGTTAAAACACAGTTTTTCAGTTGAACGCATACACAGCCATTAGAGTGCCTCTTGTCGTTAATTATCGGGTGAGTGCGGGAACTCGACGTTAGCTGGGACTTGCAATGTCACACACGAATGTGTTAGGAGTCAAAGAAATTGGAAAGGGAACAAAAAGACTCCGCAGAGAGTCAGGGCTGTTGTTCCGTTTACGGCAGAGAGAGGGAAACATTTTCCGTCGCTGTAACATTCTTCATTTGACGCACAAGGCACTGGTTTCATTAAGAATCTTCACAGCTGAATTTAACCTTGAAGGTCGTTTGACAAGCAGATTCACGAGGCTGCGTCCCTGTCTCACATGTGCATGTTGCATTATTTGGAGGCTGCAGAGAAGCATTTCATGCAAGTGTACTTATCATTTTTATCCATGCATTCAGCAGGGAGTTTTTAATAAAAAAATCCAGGTTAATTACCTGCTCAAGGTTACAACAACAGGGCTGATCCTGGCCTCGAGCCATCAGCCCTTCGGATGGCGTTTGAATTGGGGGCCAGATCCCAAAACGCTGCTGTAAATGACCCCGAAAGGCGCTACTGGGCTCCAAGCAATGACACCAGTGACGAATCAAAAAGTCCCCAGTTACTGAAAAAACACATAACCAATCAATTCAGCACGCGATTCCCGCTGTATTGTAAAGGCACAATAACACAGATACAATGAAAATGCCTCAGTAAGGGCTTTCTGACGATTTTATATGACAAAATAAAGTTAAGTTTTTGTGTCTGCTGCTATTTTCTCTTCATGAAGGTCAACCTGTCTTTAAAAATGTAGCTCAATTAAGGTTTTCTTTTTTGCTGATGGATAAAAGAAAGTCTCGGTAACCCCCCCACAAAAAAAAGTAAGTCAGCACCTTGGGACTTGGACGCTTCATCCGGACTGATTCCAGCGGTAAGTTTAACCACGCGCCCGATTATCATACTAAATCATGGGGCTTAAAGGAGATGCCGTCTCTCCAGGGAAGCTTAACTTGTCCGGGTATATTTCACGGCAAAGTGCAGGGGGTCAAACAGACCTCATTCTTTCACGTGGGATATGAGACCCAGGCACGCCGGTAACGTGGCGAAAACGGGAGCACGTGCCTGCCGCCGGTATCTACAGCAGAACTTTCTGGGTTCATCGTGCAGCCGGGCCCTGTCCCACGACTCTGTCTGGTTTTGGTGCGTCGGGTCACCAGGCGGTTAGCGCTCCGCGTCTGTGCCGCCCCCGGAGAGAAGAGCGGAGCTTGTAGGCATGGAAAGGTGCATTGTGGGACGGCAATAGAGGGCATGTTGGCAGCACACTATCTCTCCTGTCCCTTACCCACATACTGCTGTCCTTGCCTTTCCTGCTCCAGCCTCTAGAGGGCTCCCTTTCATGCCTCACCTCTTGCCCCCAGCAGTGCAGTTGAATGCAGATTCTTCAGCTGGAAGCACACTGGTACTGTGCTACCAATCGCCCATTTAAGCCTGGCACTGGGGCAACATAGACTAAAAACAAAAA